TAATGCAGAACACCATGAAATTCCAAAAGGTTCACATACTTTTTCTTGCAACTGTATGTTGTTGTGTGTGCATTTGATGGTAGGAATGCATAAGTTGATGATAGTTTCCTTTACAAATGTAAAAGAGGCCACTGACAGTTGACTGCAGCAGATAACAAATAAACAAATGGTAAAGAGCATAATTTAACAGATCAAATGAAAGAAAGAAAAATAAGCATGTTTTAAGCTTAGGAAAGTGAGAGAAAGGGGAAGGATGTACTACTTCTAAGATATGTATTAGAAACTATACAATTTTTATAATATATGAATTAGTGCCATATATGTTGTTGTTGGTGTATATGATAGTAAGACTGCATAGGTTGATGAAAGTTTCCTTTTACATACAAATGGGGATAAGTAAGAACTAGAGATGAGTTCTGGGGGAAAACCCTGCAACATTCTAAATGACTGTGATCCAAGGGAAAAATTATTCTATTAGGTAATAGGAATGGATGGATAGGAATAAGAAAAATGAAGTTAGAAAAAGTGCCCGGACCCAAGAATTTATTAGAATGGTCGGCATTTGGTGAGTGTTGCCTTAGAAAACAGTGTCATTGTTTTGAATTCATGATTTAACCTTGACTATTCATAGTATCCAAGATAAGGGAATGAATATAAATCTAAAAGCATGTTTGAGCTATTAGTTTATGATGGAAAACTGACAGAATTAGTAAAGGATACAAGCATGGTGAGAGGTTCTGAATGCATGATAGATTGTTTTTTTATAGTGTTAAGAGTAGATCTTCGGAAAAAAATGGACATAGAAGGCAAGAAAAGAAGTAAAAGAAACAAAAGTAAAAGTATATAGCTGCAGGAAGAAAAAGTACCAGTATGAAATTATTAGAAAGTATTAGAGGATAGATTCTTCTCTCAAAGATAAATGGGAAATATATCCAAGGAAAAAGGATACGGAAACTGCTTGGAACTGAGAGAAAAGACTATGTTACAAATTGTCACAGAAGTGTCTGGGGTTACATTTATAGAAGGTATGAAAAAGGATGCTTGGCAGAATTGTGAAAGAAAGAGAATTGTGCGTGTAAGAAAAAGATTGCTGCAAAATATAATGAAAAATATTACATATCTAGAGAGAAAATTAATTGCAAAGAATGCAGTCAAGGAGGGCAAGGGATGGTTACGGGTAAAAGAGAAAAAGTGGAGTGATTTTAATGGAAATATTTGGGAAGTGGGTGAAGAGGGCTTAACAAGAAGTCTCTGGCAGAATGAATGGATTTTAAAATAAAAGTGAAGAAATTATTTAGGCTGACACAGAAGTGGGGGAATGCTAGAAAGCATATTTTAGAGATTTGCACCTGACAGTGATATGTCAAAAGAATGGAAGTAAAGCAAGGGCTATAAATGTTAGTGCCCAAGGAAAAAAAATATTAATAAGATTTATTCTTTCATTCAATTAAGATAGTAGGCAAGACACAGTTATCAAAAATTAATGAACAATGTAACAATATATAATAAAATATGATATAGTACACAATAGTAAAATTATTTTTGGATTGAGCAACCCCACACTTACCAATCCCCAGAGACTTTCTGGAAAAGTCAAGTTTTTACAGTACAAGTTTCTTGAAGAGTAACAAGAGGGGGCAAGCTATTCCCCAGAGAAATAAACCTCCAGAGACTCAGTAGACTCTCCTTGGTCATGCACACTGGACAGGCTGAGTCTACCTGGAAGAGGTGGTCTCCTAGATACTGAGGCCTTGAGTCATACAGAGTTTTACCTGAATTGCATTTAGTTGGTAACTCCCACAGCAGCTCCCACGGCAATGGTGCAACATGGCAGTTCTGAGGCTACTCAGGAAGCACATGGCCTGCACATATGTCAGGCAAAACATAATATGAAGTTGAATGCAGTGGGAATCAAATACTTAAGAAGTGAGTTTTGTAAAACAAGGACAGAGGGTTAAAAAGAATGGATGCTGAACGAATGTGGACTAAATACAAAAGTGAGTGGTGAGTTTGGAAAAAAATAGTTTAAGGTGGTTTAGTCATACAGAGAACAAATGAAGATTGAATTTCAAAACAAATATATGAAGGAAAAATCAGTGGATCAAAGGGAAGGGGAACTTAGGAATGTTGTGCTTGGATGGAGTCAAGAAATTTGAGGAAGTAAGGTATGAAGTGGTATCTGGATGCAATGAAAGCAAGGATCATTTACAAAGCTAAAACAGGGAGAACAATGTTGGTATAAATTAGCTTTAGCCATGTTTCCTTTCTTTTTTCTTATTTCATGCCTTTAATTTCCTTGTCTTACTATTTCTTATTACTTTTGTGCATTCTGCATGTTGCTTACATTAAAGTGAAATGTATACAGTGTGGCTGTATATAGGAATTCTATGTCATAAGGAATTCCAATAAAATTCACTGATTCAATTACAAAATCTTCCTCCCAGAGTTTAAGACTTCTAATATAAAGTATCATATTTAATGCAAGCATTTGATGTAATACTTATGAGAGTACCTTGATTATTTATCAACAAGAGGCAGTTTTAAAAGCAAATAAATAAATACAAACTAGAGGTACACTATTATCCAAATATAATTCATGCACGTATAAGTTCCAATAAGTTTATGAAAATGTAACTGAACATAACTCATTTGACATCAACTTGGAGTTTGTGGCAAATTCTCTTGCAAGAGATTTTCAGCAGTAAAAGTTTTCATAACTATGTCTCTAATCCTACACAATTAAAATACATCACAAATCACTTCCTACTCCAGACAATGCACAAACCATCTTGGATTGGCCTGTGGGTGGGGGGGGGGAATTCTGCAGACCATCTACTCTGTTTCTGTAAATTCAAAAAAGTAGCAGTTATGGTGTGTAAATCATGCTTCATGGCTTAGCTTTATATGTAAATGGGGTTCCTATAGCTTGTTTCAACACACCATGACTCAAAACAAACCCTGGCTTGCCACAATGTGTGAACTGAGATATAGACTCCAAAGAACAAAGTCTTAAAGACTTACTGTTTCTACTGAGACTGGTTGCAGCATCTTTCAAACACTAGCTGAATAATAACTCTAAACAATAAGCAATCATGCAGTAGCAAAGAGACCAACAAGGCAATAACAATAATAAAAAGGCTAAACTCCTGTTTCTGAGTAAACATATTTAAAATTGAGTACTTTAACTGGAGATAAATTAGCTCCATCAAAAATCAATTACAGATTAGAAAGAAGAACAGAACAAATCAGGAAGACTAAACAAGTCTTATATTTAACCACCTTGTTGGTTTTATTTTTCTGTAAACACGTTTAAGGTTTCCAATCTGCTGTATCCCTGTGTATGCTGGATTACAGAGAAGATCTCCTGTAAGTAGCCATATACACGTAAGGGGAAGCATTGCATTACCATGATTAGGCAAAAAAAAATAAATGCATCAGCTCTTTACCTTATACTTTAAGGTATCCATCATCTCTTTACCTTATACTTTCATTCTCATGTTATAGCCTAATGACTAATTCAGACCTACATGAATTCAGAGATTTTCCTTCAAGGATGAAAGCTTATTTTGGTGTCTGCCCATTCTTAAACTAAGGGGCTAATTCCTAAATTTTGAACAAGAGCATGTGAAAGCTACCTCTAGAAGCATTCACTTGATTATATTTATTTCTTTATTCTATAATTCAACACCTCAATATAGTATACAGTGCTCCCAGTTTTATCTTTTTCCCTAGATTTTATAGTGTTCTGTTAGAAATAGTACCAAAAATTACTTGTTTTTAAACAGACAGCAAATAATTAGCAATTATAGTAGGCATCTTAGAAAGTTATACATGTTTGCTTTAACTTTTGGAAGAAGAAAACAGTGCCATACCAGGTTCGTTCAGATGTTCTCTACCAGGAAGCTCATTAGCATCAATGTCCCCTAAGTCACCAGTTTTAGAATCAATCGTTGCTTGAGAAAGCTCATTTTCAAAAGCATGAATCTCCTCCAAACTGGCTGTGCGCTCCAAAGACTCTGTGAACACTCTGATAATTCCATCACTGAAGGAGGAGTAAAAATTGTTTTGGTTACTCAACAAAGTAGTTTTGTTCATTACTTCTTCATTTACTGCTATGTTTATATCTAAAAGGTCCAGCTCACAAACAACCCCAAATTACAGATTTTTTTCCAGACCCCAATGGATTCAAAATAATGCAATGAAATATCACAGAGACTGGCTTATTTTAATATTTCAGTCTATCTTTTAAAGAAAACACTAGATTCCATGAACACCATTGATGGGTCCTAAAGTTACAAAACAAGGAGACATGCTAAAGTGTACCTTCAAAGCACATTTTAAAAAATCTGTGTTTAATGGACTTGAATAGTTTTTTTGCTTAATAAAGTTTTTTGAACTAGAATTAAGCTCAGGATAGCTACAGTATCTCTAAGAACTTTGTTTCAACCACAGAGACATTTTCTTCAGTATCTAGTGTTCACTGCCTTTGAATATGGAAGTTCTAATTTAAATTGAGATGACTAATAGCTATTGTAGAGTTATTAACTATTTAGGGAAAGGGAAGAAAGCTAGCAGGCAGGATGTATTTTTCCAAGAATCCAAAACATCAGCAGGCATGGTCCACCACTAGTTTGCTATTTGTGAATTATGGTCTATTCTGCTGACCACTGAAACTTCTCAGCAGTTTACAATAAAAACTAATTTAAAATCAAAACATTGGAAACATTTAAAATAACATAACCAATAAGAACAAGTAAAATACATAAAATAATTAAAAGTAACCAACACCAATACAAATCCTGTTGATAAATATATATTTCAAGGCCTTTTTAAAAATTAAAAAAATAAAGGTATTGGGTCCCTCAATTTGGCAGGGGATGCATTCCAAAGAATAGTGGTAGCAACAGAGAAAGCCCAATGCCAATCCCTTGCCAGGAATTCTCATGGCAACTGTAGGTGAACCTCCCCAGATTACCTCCTCAAAAATGGAGGTTTGTACAAAAAGGACATTCTCTCAAATAGCTTGAAGGCTTTAAAAGTAATAATCAACATTTTGTGTTTTGGCCAGAACCAAACTGGCAGTCCGTGAAGTGCTTTAAAGCCCATGTATAATATGGCCTCTGTGTTTCTCCCAAGACCAACCTAGCTGCGGAGCTTTGTACCAGCTGAAGTTTCCAGATTAGATATAGAGGCTGCCCCACATAGAGTGCATTACCATTATCAAGCCTGGAGGTTACCAGCACACACATCACAGATTTAACATCATTTCCTTCCAGAAAGGGACGCAGTTGGCATATCAGCTGAAACTGATAAAAGGCATTCCTGGCGGCTGCATCAATCTGGGAAACCAGAGAGAGATTTGGGTCTAGAAGCACCTCCAAACTGTGTACCTGCTCCTTCTGGGAGAGGATAATCCCATTCAGAACAGACAAATCTACACCTCTCTGGAATGATGGTCCCTCATAATGAGCATATCCATCTTGTTTGGATTCAATTTCAATTTATATTATCCCTCATTCAGCACATTATTGAGTGCAAGCAGGCATTCAGAGGAGCCATATCATTTCCTGAAGATGTTACTGAGAAACAGATTTGGGTGTCATTAGCATATTGGTAGCATCCATCTCCAAATCTCCTAATGATCTCCCCCAGGAGCAGCACCAATCACTTCAGCTATACTTTTTACCATACAACCCCACTGAAGGTATGATCGTTGTCCTCATGTCATCCATTAAGTGATTACATAAAAGGGGCAATTTCTTTAAGGACCAGACACCCTTAAATATGGCCTCTCCTAGAAACAGCCAATGGCTGGATAACAACATTCCCAGGGAAGGGACCCCAGCTTGTACTGAAATAACAAGCAATGAGACTTCTGCTTTAAAGTCAGCAGACTGCTATCCAAATGATGGGAGGAGTAGGGGGTGGATGTAGTCTTGGAAAAACTGATGTCTTCTGCTTTGCTACTAAAATTTGCATTGCTGTTTAAAACCTACACACTAGCCAATGTACTTTAAAGTCTCATTTAACATGATACTTGTTTTCATGTTATAAGTTCCACCTATTCCTGCTGCAATAAGATTGAAGCTTAAAACTTCAGTTTTGCAATAATGGCAGCTTACCATATTGACTGAACTCTAACAAACTGTGATTCTTCTTACATATGGCACCTTGAAGCAAGCTCACTTGATCCCAAAGTGTGCTTAATCAAAAATGGAAATAGAAGCTTCCAATCATTTCTCACAGCCAAGCTAAATAAGAGGACAGATCGTCAACCTAACTATGCTGAGGCTCATTTGCATAACACTGAAGCAATATATGATTGCAGCCAATACTAGTAAATACACCAAATTATTTAATTACATCGTTTACAACTGATATATACTGCTCTTGCCTAGTGCTATTACTAATTTATCTAAATGGATGGCAAACTGAAGCTTAAAGATACCTTGCTCCAACAACAAGATCTCCATTGTCTAATATACAGCAACACCAAACAGACTGAGCTGGAAGCCTGATTGTTTGTACACATTCTTCTTTTCTCCAGATTCTGAGTGATCGATCTTCACCAGTCGTAACAAAATCTATAATGAGACAACAAAGCACAATCATAAAAAAGAACCAAATTTAACATTAACACTTATTGCAGATGTATGATAATCCAACCCTAATATCTGCTCATTTGAAGCTTTGGTTTCCTGTATTAAGTGCAGAACAACTTAATCAGAAGCACTTGTTCTTTTTCATCTAGATTTACAGGGGTGGGTTTGTAGTGTGTTTGACAGCAAGATCCTTCACCTAGCAGCAGTAGCTGTGCTATGTTACACACCATATTGGAAGGAGTTTTCTGCAGGAAAGGAATAGGAACAAAACTCACCAAAATGTGAGCAAAACCGCACTAAAGAAGCTCTTTGGAGCCAAGCCATTAATCTGAACAAATTCAAGGGGGGAAAAAAACCATATCTGACAATTAAACTTCCCTAGTTAAAAAGTTGTTGTCAGTATTGGATTGTATGAGAATGAAGTATTATATAACACTGATTATTAGGCCTCTACTCATGCCTCATTTGAGTAGCTTTCAAGGATCTTTAGAATTTTATCAATCTCTTAAAGAGGAATGTAAGAAGATGTGTTTCAACAGTCGTCATTAACAGCTTTTATTTATGATTAACATTAGAGCAGTCCTTGTTCCAAGGTGAATTATTAGTCCAGAAGAGGCAACTGTAATGACTAAACAAACCTGGACAGCACACTGTGTAAACTGCCAGGGCTCACACGCTACATTAAGTTTATTTATGATTTATTATCTGTTTATTTATTTGTACCACAGATGGTTGAATAAATCGCAATGACATGGTTCACACAACATTAAATCATAATCACTGGGCTCACAAACTCTAAACCAAAATCAAACCACATTATTACTTGGCATTATGTATTAATTCCTCAAATTCAATTTCAACTCCTCTATTGTAGAGTTTGTGACAGATGGCCAGGGATGCCCTGGCAGATGGAAGAATCCTTATTACATTAGGTAATAAACTTGAAAAACCATTATTGTATTGCTAGGGAAGGAACTGAGATGTAATTTAACAGTAATTCTATACTTACACTGATAATAATCTAGAAAACAAAATGATGTTGTTGCCATTTGTAAAAGAAAAAAAAAGTGGGAGGTGTTATCTTGTGGCCCAAGTCTTACCTTTACTTTGAGGGAAGACAGATATGCAATATATATAATTGGTGTGGCCATAATATATTTGAAGACATTCACCAAATATATGCCATCTTCGAATGCTGGCATCATTTGCACAGGAAAGAAATTCTGTTTCACTTAAAATAGCTAGGCCTCTTACACAGTCTTCATGTCCTTTGAAAGGAAAGGTTTGATAGATTAGAAATTTATTTCCTTGATAAATTGGTCAAAAGTTTATATTCTGTCTATAAAAGAGCCATACCCTACAAAGAAGACCTGACTCAACCCATTTTAAATGACAATTAGCAAGCTTTGTACCCAGGATGTACAGTAATTATCATCAGTGCTCTTGCTTTCCTGGTCTGTGAGATCAGTCTTTCAAATATAGACCTTGGAAATATTCAAAATATATGTAAAACTCAATGCCGTTATTCTGCCTGAGTTTCCTCTGGGACACTAGAAGCTGTGGTTGGCACATAAGCCATAGCTAAATGGAGAACTGCATAGTGATGTCTTATGTACACTGTATGCATCTATGATACAACTTAATACAAGGGACAGCATTTTCAGTGACAAAAAAGTTAGAGCAGTCCTTTCAGAATGGGCATTTATATATTCTTTCTATATATCAATATGGATTTGAGTCTTTTCATAGCCAAAGCCAAATTGACACATGAAAGTATCAGCAACACTGGACTAATTCTAAAACTTAAAGAAGGAAGCCTTGCATTAAGTTGTAAACAGCAATACAGCTTATTTTTTATTATATTAAATTAACAGAGAAGAAACCATATATATAATAAACAGGCGAATACCTCCACCCCATTGACCATATTGCTCAAAAGTTTTCTTGCTTCCTTCCTTTGGAAAGGAAAACTGATTTGAATGTTGACAATAACACAGATTAACAATCAATGCTGCAAGTCAGATATTGACTTCTATTGTTGTATGATAATTCTTTTAGGTGGCTCCCTCCTCTGAATACTCCACAATTTTTCATGTCTTGGTAGATTCCAAATACTAAGGAAATAGCCAAGAAGAACATATATGCTTCTTAACATGAAGAAGTCAAATCCTGCTGATTTCTGTCCAAAATGTGGCAATAATAGCACAAGCCCAAACCATATCAATAAATGTTTCAACTTGTAACTGGCAACTCCAATAGCAAGTCAATAGTCATCAACCATTATTAATCATTCTTTGAGGTGTCTAATAGAAACAAAGAAAATGTTTTGTCATAGTAATCCAATTTAAGATAATAGAAAACTATTTTCACATTATTTAAAACAACTCACTAACTAGTTTACCAGGGCAGGGCGAACTCATTATTTCAGAGGTTTTATAACTAATTAGTACCAATTTTATCAACTTCCTCCAACTTCCTATAAAAAAGGATTACTGCCTAGGGAGCTTTTTCACCAGCCATCAGGGAGTTTCTGAAGCAGCAACAGCAGCTGAACCAAACAGACTAAATAACAAATGACCAAGGTGAATAAACCACCAAAAAGTATCTTCCAATAAATCAAACTGTTTAAAAAAAAAAAAAAAAGGAAAAGGAAAAGGAAAAGTTTTAAAAAGTTTCCTCCAGGATTCCTTGTCAGAATCCTGTTTACTGATTACATTGATAGGGATATCAATTATACCATGTAAGAGACAAATTAAATCCTTGTTAACTAATTAAATGAAACATTCCACTAAGCCAGCATACAATCAGAATTGCATTACATGTTCCATTTCAAACTACAGAAATGGAATACAAAACAACTCATAATGGGGTGGAGTAAAGGACCTACTATGTATTATTGCAAGGAAAAGCAATAGTTTGTTTTTTTCCTATAGGAACTGATTACCCTGTGGTCTTGCAAAAACATGAGAAGTAATAGCTCTCTCATTGTGTACTTTTCAAAACCCTTTCACCGGCAATCTAATGCAAAATATCTACAGAAAGAATCAGTAATTTTCCCCCTTATAAGCCCCCCCAAAAAAGCAGGATACAAAATTAGTTCAGAAACAATTGGCATGTCCCACTGATTGAAGCTCTATATCCAAGCCAAATATCTGGTTTCAATACATCTAACTGGCCAAGTAACTTTCATTTCTTCTTATCCATATTAGCTCTCCCTAAGAATATCTGCCTGTCCCGCTAGATCGGATAAAGTAGGCACGCTCCAGATCCCTTCCCTGAAATCCTGCCACCTGATGAGACCTCGGAAGCGTGCCTTTTCATGGCTGCCCCTACCTTATGGAACACTCTCCCCCCAGCAATTTGGGGGGCTACACACTTTTAGCCTTTCAGAAGGCCATCAAGACTTGGCTTTTTACCAAGGCGCTGGGACAGGATAGGATAAAATAGAATAGAAAGAATGGAATAAGGGTAATTGGAGCTTGCTGCAGGGCATCCTAAAGGGATGATTAAGGTGCAGGGTTTCTGTTTTTGTTCAATCATTTTACTGTTTTATGGTTATGTTTTATTGTTACTGATTTTATTGCTGTTGTGGGCTGCCCAGAGTTGTTTAAGGTGGGCGGCCATACAAATCAAATCAAATCAAATAAAAAAATAAATAACTTTCTCTAGCACACATTCACTTCTTTCCGTTAGAAACACCCCCTGTATGATACTGACTGCCTCCCCACTCAACATGAGAAAGGATGGCTTAAATTGATCTATATAAAAAAAGGAAAGTGTTAACTTTGGATCTGAGACTTCCATAATGGAGCATCACTCATAGGAAACTTTTGCTAATAGCATAATTTTGCCCAGCACAAGCTATCCTTGCCCAAAAGAGACTTCAGAGATGAGTAATTGCCATTCTAATGGCAAATTCAAGCATGGAATAGCCCTCTACAATATTAGAAAGGGCTAGAAATCTCCACAGATCTTTAGAGTCTAAATCGTGTTTATTCCATTTCCAATAAAATTCAGAACCTTCATTTTATAAAAGAATCATTTTTTTTTCCAAATGTGTGTAAGGTGTATGCTTGCAGGACGCATACAGACTTCTAATAAGTACAGTTTAATTTCTCTGGGCCTATTAGTTTACACTAGCTCACAATATTTAAGATAATCAGCTAGATATTTCAAGGAAAAACTTTTTTCTAGCACCTTTTGCCTATTTTAACATTTCCTTATTCTCTGTTGTAACAGTGTAGTATCAAATAGTACATGAATTGCAAATAAGCTGACTCAGGCAGTAGGCCAACTACATTCAATGGAAATTTTATTTTCATATGAAGGGACTCAAAAGTGAATCCATGAGAGCATACTTTGTTAAACTTTACAGGACTTATTTCTGAGTATGACTGTCCTACTGTGTGAGTCTAACTCAGTACTATCAATTCACTGATCAATCAAATGGACCCAATTATTCTCTTGCATATTATTCATTAAACATAAAAAGGTGGGGGTTTTTTGGTTAAAGCAATCAAAGTTGTTTACAGTTTTTAAAACTGAAACAACTAACACAAAACACTGGAGAACTCAAAACTGAAAATATAAACTGTACTCCAAAATGGTTCTAGGTGAGATTTTTAAAAGTAACAAAAGCCACTCAACTACCAGAAAATGTCATAAACATTTATATGATCAGTAGTCAAAAGTCTGAGTTGAAATGCATTTCCCAACAATAAACAAAAGCTGAATCAGACTAGCAAAATGAAATATTCTAATGCTGGTATATTATTAATAAAACATGATTTTTCCTTTCTATATCACAACATTCAGGGTAGGGAAGAGTATCAATTTTATAGAAAATAAATTTCTCGCTATTTTGTATTTAAAAACTGTATAGGCAAATACCTACCAGAAAATGTTCTCTCGCATCTACCTGCTTTCCACAGTTTAATAGTTTTATCAGCTGAACCAGTCAACATCAAACCTTGTTCAGGTAGTATCTTCACAGCCCAGACTGCTGCACTGTGGCCCTATAAAAAAAGGATATTTTCTCTGCCAGAGCCCATCTATGTTTTCTGAAGTGTGCACACACCAATACACATGCATCATTATTTGTTATTTCACTAATGGCAGCAACACAAGTTCCATACCTGTAATGTCATCATGCATTTGTCATTCAGCCAGACTTTAGCTGTAGTGTCCCATGAGCCACTAAGAAGGGTGCCAAATTTTCCAGAGGAGAGGCTACAAACTAGAAAATAAAACAAAATCAGCATTGTCAAACTGAGAAAGGTGTTGATATGCTAGCAATCAGGAACAGCTCAGATGTAGCTTTTAAGATAACTACTGCAATCCTAAAGATTCATCAGAACAAAATTAACTGTTCATAATTATGTCATTTATGATGTAGCAATAAGAAATTATGCTAACCAAGGAAATCACAGCCAACGTAAATACCTAAACAAGAAACATTCTTTCCACACAGCTATGAACAGTCTATGTTACAGTTTCCCCGCTCCCAAATGTTTTTATCACACAATGCATTAAATTCAAACTGCCTTCCCCCCCTTCTTTCAACATGCTGCTTTGGATTTTTCTAAACAGAAAGGTGAAATTAAAGTATTTTAATAAACAAAAATATTTAATTTAAAGATGCACTGTATGGTGGTAGAACCTATGGTCATAGGCATAATGCAGTATCACGCAACATAGATAACATTGTTAGCTTATCAATTCCCAAGTTTTGTTATATAATAGATAGTAGTGAACAAAAGTATTTGCCCTATTTACTAAATGCTAAAATAACAAAAGCAAAATCCTTTATACAACTATATATATTGTTAAAATGACATTTTGTACAACAGTACAAATTAGACATTTAGTTTTATTCAACCGATAGCATCATAAAATGTGGCTGGCACATTTTTAATATCATGCCAACATGAATTAATTCTGAATATCACAAAGCAAAATACATTTGGGTGCCTCTCCTAACAAAATATGTCTGTATATGGTAACAGCTGCTAGAATATCTTATGGCCTTTTACTGGATATCACACATAAATCACTTAGATAATTGCATAGTTAAATAATTTTTTCTTACCAGTGTTTTTATGACCCTTAAGGACATACAGTGGTGTAGAGCTGTCTAAAGTAAAGATGCAAATATTGCTGTCATTACCACCAGTAGCAATTAATCCACGGGGGTAAAGGTCACTTGGAGGGATGACACACACACAAGAAACAAAATTGGAATGGCCACTCAAGCAGTGTATTTCATGAAATCCTCTGTTGGTACTAAAAATAAATACCAAATTTACAACAAAAATCAGATCAACAGATCAAACAAAACTTGTATCTAAGTCTTAATGTACTAAAAAGATTAGAAAAATATTTTGAGAGACAGAAAACTACTTTAAAATATAGTACATTTTATTAACTTATCATGGTCCCTATTTTCTCAGCAATCCAAGAACACAGTTTTTGCTAAAAAATAAAATAGCTGAGCTTCTAACTAAAATATAATTTCAACAAGGAGGATCAGAAGGTCAAAAAAAATTTTTAAATAGTGATCATTTATTTTCCAGAAAATTATAAATCATGTTGAAAAATCCTTGGTTCTTTATAAATCCTAACTCTTGTAGAATACATTTAAATTGGCAATAATGTAGAAGAGTAAACAGATGAACACTTGATTTCATTTGTTGTTTTTTCAAGTGAGTTATGACATCCCCCAGAGTTTTCAGATGAGTTCCAGCCAGTGGTAAATATGGCAGGCTTGGTTAGTAATTGTTCAATGTATTCATTTAATCTGAAGTATTATCCCATTCACTAGAAGGCAAACAGGAGGGGGAAAAAATGCACCAGATCAAGGAGGTGAGGAAGAAAAGGGATACATGTATTTTATTGCAAATATTCAGTTATGATGTGCTTGAAGAACTTATTCTTCAGGGGAATTATTAAGGTACAAACCACAAGCAGCTAACTGAAAGTTTACAAGCTGAAACATTTTCCTTTTCACTTCCTTAGTCTGGTATGTTTCCTCCTGTTTGTCTCCATGGCAAAATGCTTTCTGTTTCTCCAATAAACACATCAAACTATTATTATTCAAGCCTTCCATATTTATCTCTAGTCCTAATTCATTTGTTACTTTGAAAACCACTATGCCTTTAAAAAAAAAAATCTTCAAAGCTTATAGCAGCTAGGTAACAACAGAAATAATATATTTAAGCAAATAATTTGCGAAAACATTGGAGAGGCAAATTCTAATATTGAATTTATACTGGCAGTGCATTTAACATGAGCACCATATTTTTTGCTGTATATTATGGTCAATTCATTAAGAAATCCTGACACAGTCATTACTGTATACATTTCAGAAGACTGGGCTTTATATTACAGCTGATAAAAGTTCAGTCTTCCACTACAAAAGCCAGATTTACTGCTGCTCCTGGTTGAAACTGAACATACTGCCACATAAGCCCAGGGTTTATATGCTTCTCAGACAATTTCATTTGGTTTGTCCACGAGAAGACTGAAAACATTTGCTTCTGTTTCCACAAGAACAAGATAATCTGTATGATGCATCTGCCAAGACTATCTATGTATTCACAATGTATGAGGATACAGGCAAAATGTTTTTGTTTTTTGTTTTAAACATTATGGCCTGTTTTAGGTAAACTACTATCCTCCTGATTTTTGGACCTCAATTCTCAGAAGCACCTACCAATTATGCTGGCTAGGTCTGATGAGAGCTGTAGTTCAAACTATCTGGGACCACCAACCTCTGATCTAGTAAAACAGGAAAAAGTAGTAATTTGGACAGATTTTCAGCCGAGATCCGCGTAGTGTGCTAACCTCTAAGAATCAACTGGTCAATTGCTCAACTCCCTTCCTATTTCCCCCAGTGAATCGAGCCACGGCTATGCTGTTTCAAAAAAAACATCAGTTCTCACACTGTACGTGATGCTGGCAAGAACCCGGCAAACGTCTCCAGCCCCAACAGGCCCGACATGTCGTCATCGTCGTCCCTCACCCCAACCCCGGCTTTCCCCCCTCAGTTGCTACTAACCTGTTTGGCGCCCAGACCCGCGCCGTCCGGTCCCGGGATACGGACACAAACGACCCCGTCGGGAAGGGGCAGCAACTAAGCCCCCGGACGTCCAGCTCGTGCCCAACCAAGGAGCAGCGGAGCCGGTAAGCACCTACTGCGGTAGCCATCCCGCCCGCCCTCAGACACCCTGACACAGCAGCGGCAGCCGTCACCACACCCACCTCCCTTCCTCTTCCCGCCTACTTCCTCCCCGATGTGGCGTCAAGAACCAAGCGCCGGAAAAATCGACGACCCACAATTCTCTGCGGCGAGACAGAGACGAGGACTACATATCCCAAGATGCCATAGGTCAATAAGGGCGGAGTAGTCCTGTAGAGTCCTGCGGAGATGGGAGTGAGGTCCCCTAGTTTTCTTTTTAATGGGGTGTAACACGTACATTCGTCGTATAAGTAAAGTCAATAGTCACTCCGTATCGAATGCGTTGTAGGATTTAGGCAACAGGGAAGAGTAGTGTGTGCTGGTGGTTCGGTGGAAGCGGGCAATGGTAATCCACTTCTGAAAAACCTTCCCAAGAAAGCTGTAGGGACTTGTCCAGGCAATCGCCAGGAGTTAACACTGGCTTGAAGGCACATACACAAGTTATTTTGCAATTAATGAATCTTAACTTCACTTTGCAAGTTTTATGTTTACTACAACTTTCTTGTGTGATACCTTACTTTTTTAACATGTCCGAGTGAGCAATAGCCATGGTAATATAGCAGCAACAACAACATAAGGATACCAGATGTGGGCTACAAATTAACGGATGATCGCTAAAAGGTCGAGTTGTCTACATGGAGAAATGATCACATTTCTACACATAAATGTAATTAAATGAGCAAAAAGACACTATTCTTGCGTGAATATTTTTGTTTACTTATTTTAGTTACTGTTTATATTGTATTATATATGATTTCGCTTTGTTTCTTCGAAATACGAAAGACAAAAATGTCCACTGCAAACAATGGGTTTTATTCGAACATCCCCAGGAAATATTGGAAGCCACGAAGAACTATCTGACATGACTAAGCCCAGCAGAACTAAAAATTACCTATAAATAAAGCGAGACGGATCTTCAGAAAGAATGTTATAAGTCAGAGATCGTTTTGCCCTTTCTAGATTGTTGTTGTTGTTTAGTCGTTAAGTCGTGTCCGACTCTTCGTGACCCCATGAACCATATTGCGCCAGGCCTTCCTGTCCTTCACTGCCTCCCTGAGTTTGCTCAGTTTCATGCTCAGTTTCTAGATTATTATGCATTAATTTTGTTAATTGCTTACGCAAATTTTTATTACATAAATGATTCTATGCACACAATGGCAGATGATAAGTTGGGGGTAAAAATAAAAGTATGGCAGTACCGGAAGAGAGACAGAGAAGGAGACAGTTCATACAGTGCAATGGTCTGCACGTAGGGAGTTTAGTACGGCAAATTTCCAGGTAAAAGCTTCGTTAGAGAACCGACTTGTTTTGAAGCCATTATCTGTCAATCAAGTATCTCTGTAATGGGGGGGCGGGGAGAGATGGAGATAGAGATGGAATCTCGCGATAAAAAGCGTGAAGAAAACACGTTCAAGTTCCGGAACGGCGAAGGGAAAACGGCATCTTAACTGAGCTGCTCCCGTTGCTATGATACGGGCGCCGCGCGCGTAGAGGAGCTCGCTGGCAGCAACTGCCGCCCTTGAGTTTTGCGCGTGCTGAGAGTCAGGTAAGAGATCGAAACTCGGATTGCAGAGCAAGAGGGGCGTCTGCAGCTTCGTCTGCCTGCTTCTCTGCGGAGGATAATCGGGCTGTCCCCGAAGCTGCTACACTACCCCACACCCCGTCCATATCAGCATCGCCCCGGCTTTTGCTGTGACTGAATGGCTTTTCTTCACACCTTCTGAATAGTAACGAAGGGCATAGACCGGTGTGTAAAGGAATCAGATGGTAAAGCCTTGAGGTAAAATGAGTTCCCTTCATGATAAACCATAACTTGTCTGAAGGATAGTTTATTCAACAAATCCCTACTGACTAGGCTTATACAACACACAAGTCGCTTCTCACGATCGTTTGATGGGGTTTTAATATTGTATTATTTTTCAACATAGGCTGGCAAATAATTTTGATTTCAGGGACCCTTGAGAGGGTCTTGGGGAACCCCCAGGGATCTTTGGACCATACTTTGAGAAACCCTGAACTATGCTGTGGAGTCTTCCTCATAAGAGCACTAACATACTATTATCCAGTGTGGAAGCTGGCAGAAATATATGCAGGCTTAAAGAACTGCTGACCTCATTTCTGACCCCTCTTCTGCCTTGGCAATGAAGCAGAATAAGAGTTCTACCAAATGAGAAGCACAGTGAGAAACACCTTTAGTGTCAGCTTCTGGCAGTAGAAGACCTGTGAGCCTTCTGTCAGTTATTTGATCTCTCTGTTCGATTGGAGAACTGGCACCAAAGGAGTTTTTCTCTGCCATTCTTCTCCCCCAGCTTCTCTTGCCGCACTTGGGAGCAGATATTCTCTTTCTTTACTGCAGGGGATGCTGGCAAGGAAGGGAAGAGGGGAAAGCTGGACACACCCCCTCCCTCCCCTGCTCCCTCCCATATAAAACTGCCTTTACCTAGGGGATTAATTTCTGCAGTGCCTAATCCACTGGGATGCTTTATTGACATGTGCTCAGTGGGTTTACAGAAAGCTGCTGCACATATATCAAAAAGTGTACCTGTCTAGCCCCACAGATTGAGCATTGCTCTACCATAGGTCTGGGCAGACAGCTGGGGTGGGAAAGGGGAGGGAAAGGGAGCCACTTGCCCTACACACTTCTCTTTCTCAACAGTTATCTGGTCCCATGGAAATGTTTCTCCATAGGATGGGAGAACTGGAAACTAAAGAGCCACTCCCCACCCCACCCCTCAATAGATACATATTTGTCTTGCCATCCCTTCATGTTTGGGGATCTGTGGCCAGCCATGGCAGAGTTAGTAAGAGAAGTGGGAGAGCCCTGACTCTCCTATTGTCAAAGGCAAAAGGCTCAGGGGCTATGGAATCATTTCATTTGTTTCTCCTGAAGATGTAAACAGGGTACTTAGATAACCTTGGGCCACTAGTGGTCTGTTGACCCTGCTTCCTCTTGGCTAGTTCTGGCTGGGACAGATCTGTTAATGTTCTTAAATGTTTTTCTGGTTTTCAGATTGAATATTTGTTTTTGATGTTTGTTTATTTTGTACCATGGTTATTTTATTGTCTTTTTACCATATTTATTTTACAGTATGTTATAGTTTTATGTACCCCTGAGATTGTGGCAGTATAAACATCTAATAAATAAATAAATTATGGAACAGTTATGTATTGTTATTAATCCTGCCCAATCTCAGGAGTGAAAGAAATTGTGATGCACCCTCTGTTGAAACTTTAGATCCCTCCATTGTTAATTTTAGGATAGTTTGTAATCTACTGTTCTTAGCCAAAGTAGCTGAACGGGTGATGTTCAACCAATTTCTGGCATGTCAGGATGATATTGATTGTCTAGATCCATTTCATTCCAGAATATAACATTGAAATAATGTTGGTTTTCCTGATTGACAATCTGTTACGGAAGCGTGATGGGAGTGTATTTTTGCTGGTGTTCCTGAATCTCTCAGTGTTTTTTGATACCATTGGTTATGGCATCACCATAATCAACTGTCTGAGGGAGTTGTGGGTGAGAGACACAGCTTTGTTGTAGCTCCATTCATATTTTGATGGCAAGTTTCAGTCAGTAGTAGAATTACTGCTTCTCCCTACAGTTTTTGGACTGCAAGGTGTTGCAGAGTTCCATTTTATCCCTTAGGGTTTCAATATATATGAAATTCCTGTATGTGCTAGTCAGGGATTATAGAGCTGGTATCATCTTTATGCACATGACACCAGATCTACTCTTCTTTTCTATCTTCATCAGATAGGTCAGCTTCTATCTGCTTGAACTGGATTGTGATCTGGATAAGGCATAACAGACTAAAACTGAATCCAGAAAAGTTTGAGGGTTTGGTGGTAATGGGCTTAATGGGAGATGAAAGAAACCCAGAAATTGCAATGAATCCAGGATGCAGAATCAAGATCCATTTAGCAGCTTGTAAGCCAAATTCAAAGAGCTTGTTTCAAGATATAAATCCCTTTACTATACAGCCTTGGTCCTAAAGGAATTACTTCCCCTTGTATTATGACTACCACCTGGAAAGGAGATCTGACTAGAAACTATTAGGCTAGGGTCTTCTCAGAAGTGGCTATATGGGCATTGCCCTCACTCACTGATTTTAAGAGAAGCCCCGAAAATTATAAAAGCAAGCATTTTCTTTCGAATGTTGCATTTTTATAATTATGTATGATGGCTGGTCTGGAATTTATGTATGTTTTATTCGTATTATTTATTGTTTAAATGATGTCAATTATTGTTGTTTACCAGTATTTATTGTTGTAAAACACAGTGAGCTGACTTGCCAGAAGTTGTGGAAATAAATTTGACTGTGTGTGTGTAGGTGTAAAATGATCTGTTTAGGGGCAGCTATTTTCAAGCTCTCAGGTAAATCCAATGAGCTGCTAGGCTTGCTTGCTTGCTTATTTATTTATTTAATTAATTAATTAATTAATTTTTCAGCCGCTCATCTCCCCCCAATGGTGGAATTCTGGGTGATTCACAACAAACATTAAAAACAAATATATATGAATACATAAAACAGTAGTTAAAAATTAGTTATTCATTCACTCATTCATTCATTCATTCATCTCCTATTGCAAATAGTGAATTGTAAATGTAGACTAGACTAACTCTACAATTTTAACTGCTTAAGGAACAAGGCAGGTGATTTTGGATCCAAAGCCCTCTTATCCCACTTCCTGCCCAGTTTCTATCACCCTTTGTTTTGGAGAGTGGTCAGGATTTCCTCAAAAGAAACTAGCTGTGGGGCTTGGCAGAAAGCAGGAAGGAAGATATAATGTCAAATCCCTTCCTGAAAATTTGAGAAATAGCAAACCATATAGAATAATGCAAACATTTATCACTATGGTAGACTTAATTGCCAAGTGTACTGTAATTATACATTGTGTGAAGTAACCACTTATTTACTCACTTATAATTTAAAAATGTTCACTCAGTAAATTCCTTCTTTAATAGACCATGTTTTGTCATTTAGACAGCCTCCTGTGTTTTATAATTATCACTATACTAGAACAT